GAGCTGCGCAGCGAGTGATTGTTACACCTGAGCTCCGCCTCCTGTTAGATTCGCGGCAGCATTAGATTCTCACAGGAGGACTACTGTGAACTCTGCATGCGACGGATCCAGGTTGCTGCTGCTTGTGAGAACTAACGCTAGAAGTAATGCGCTTGGCCAGGCACCAGTCTGGCCAACATGGTGAAAACCCATCTCTACTAAAAACACAAAAATTAGCCGGGTGTGGTGGCAGGTGCCTGTAATCCCAGCTACTCAGGAGGCTAAGGCAGGAGAATCGCTTGAACCCGGTAGGTGGAAGTTGCAGTGAGCCAAGATCGTGCCATAAAAAGTAATGCCCTTGAATCATCCCCAAACCATCCCCCTACCCCATCCGTGGAAAAATTGTCTTCCATGTAACCGGTGCCTGGTGCCAAAAGGGTTGGTGACAGCTGTATTAGAAGATTCCAGAGATGGAGAATATTTGTGGAGCTAGCTAGATTAAGGGGGAGGAATTTCAGGAGAATGCAAGCTCACCAGGTGCCCACAAGACCCCGCAGCAGCTCTGCAAGGCGGGTATTAAGGAGGAGTTTCTTCACCTGAGCCTGAGGATAGGAACTATTGGCCAGGCCCGGGGACTCGTTATCCTTTGGGAGGCTGAGGCGGGCAGATCACGAGGTCAGGAGTTTGAGACCAGCCTGGCCAACCTAATGAAACCCCATCTCTACTAAAAATACAAAAATTAGCCGGGTGTGGTGGCGCATGCCTGTAATCTCAGCTACTCAGGACGCTGAGGCAGGAGAATCACTTGAACCCAGGAGGCAGAGATTGCAGTGAGCCGAGATCGTACACTGCACTTCAGCCTGGGTGACAGAGCGAGACTGTCTCTGGTGCCTTTCCCCGGGGATGAGGGAAGCCTATGTGTGTTACAGGGTCTCTCATGACTGGCTCACAAGACAACAGTAATGATGACCCCACCCTGCCTCCAGCCACAGCTTGGTCATCTCCTCACACCTTACAATCCCTTCAGTTTCTCTCCTCTTCACAAAAGGCTGTCTACACAGATCACCTCCACCTTCCCACCTCCCACTCAGACTCGCACCTGCCCCACCTGGCTTCTCTCTCCAGCTGCCACCAATCCGCTCTTCCAATCCCACACCTTCTCCTTGTGGCTGACCAAATGCACCTTAGGGGCCTGATCTTCCAAAACCTATGAACAGCAGCCTCAGGGTTAACTTTTGGGGAGGGGTGGAATTGAGCCTTAATCTCTCATCTTTAATTAACTTGAAAAAGTCACACCTGCATATCATTTAAACACTCAGCCAGTACAAAAAGGAGACCATTAACTGGTAGTTGCAGGTATTGCCAACGTCCCTCTCCAGAGGCAGACCTGTGCACATTCTTGTAGATTCTTGCAGAAATATTTTTGTTTTGAGACAGAGTCTCACTGTTACCCAGGCTGGGGTGCAGTGGCACGATCTCAGCTCACTGCAGTCTCCACTTCCTGGGTTCAAGTGATTCTCCTGCTTCAGCCTCTGGAGTAGCTGGGATTACAGGCCTGCCACTACACCTGGCTAATTTTTATATTTTTGGTAGAGATGGGTTTTCACCATGTTGGCCAGGCTGGTCTCGAACTCCTGACCTCAAATGATCCACCTGCCTTGGCCTCCCAAAGGGCTGGGGTTACAGGCATGAGCCACTGCGCCCGGCTGCAGAAATGTTTATGCATCTGCATTCATTTCCTTCTCCTTGTCTTCTCTCCGAATGGGAGCATACAGGTGCAGTATTTTGTATATTCCTTCTTTCACTTCACTTATTCTAAAGATCACATTCCCTCTCTTCTCAAGTTGTCCCAGCTTGGTCTTCTGAGCAGCACACACTGCTGGTTTTCTTTCTGTCTGCTAGGCAGCCCTTGGCCAGCAACTCCCTCCAGCAGGCTTGGAAAGGTTGGAATTCCCCTAGTTCATCATCCAAGCCCTCTTTCATCTTCCTCCAAACCTTTCCCCTAATCACTCCATCCACTCCCAAGGCTGTGCCACCCATATATGTGGACAACCTCCACACAGCCTCCAGCTGGAATCCTTTCCTCTGACTCCCAGCTGACACCTAATCACCACCTTGTAGTTGGCTGCCTGGCAATCATTCCCAAGTCAACATGACCAAGGCTAACTCCGCCTTCCCCCCCAGATCTAGCTCCCCGTCCTTTCCGCACTGAGCAGGCACCAAGTCATGCACCATCAGCAGATTCTAAATCCATTCTCTTCATTGGCTGCTCGCGGCTCTTCCCTGGACGGCTACGCCAACCTCCTGTCTAGATCTCTCAATCTACTCCTGCTTCTCTTCAGCCACTTCTCACATGATAGCCAGAGTGATTTGGAACATGCAAACCTAGTGAACCATGCCCCAACGTATGATACCGTAGTAGCTTTCCCGTTGCCATTATAACCAACTTCAGAAGCCTCACCCTGCCGGAGGGTCCCACACCCCCTTACTCCCCTGTGCTGAGTCCAGGCTCTGTCTCTCCATGGAGCCCTCCCTCCCCACTCCTCGCCCTTTTGCCCTGACTCGTCTTTCACCTGCACCTTCCAGGTCACTCCCATGTGAAGCCTCCCCACCCCTGGGACCAGTTAGATATCAAGCTTTACCTCTGTAGTTCTTCAAAATCTTTTCTTCTTGGAAACTCACAAATGTTTTGAAGGGGACTGTGACTGTTTTGTGCACGACTGCTGCCTCAGCATCTAGCAATGTCCAGAAAAAAGGACTGGATGAACAAATGAATGGCATCCTCAAACCTGCGCCCAGCTTCTGCACATTAGATTCCCCTGTCTGCACCGCTGGACTTCCTGGTGCACAGAACAGCGTGATGGATGAGGACTTGGGTTCTGGAGCCAGACTGCCCAGGTTTGAGCCCAAGCTTGACCAACTTTCTAGCTGTGTGACCTTGGACAAGGTGGTCAGTATCTCCGGGCTTTTCTCTTTTGTAAAATGGCACAAATAATAGTACTTAATTCACAGAGGATCAAAGGAAAGACTTTCTAACTCAGTGAGAGACTAGAAAAAATTACACTGTTTGGTGTGGCATCCAGCATTTCTCCTCCTGTTCATTCATTCCTGGGCCATTTCAAGCTGGTCTTCCCTTTAGCTGTGAAAACTGCTCTGTATTTTTTTTTTGAGATGGAGTCTCACTCTGTCACCAGGCTAGAGAGCAGTGGTGTGATCTCGGCTCACTGCAACCTCCACCTCCTAGGTTCAAGCAATTCTCCTGTCTCAGCCTCCCGAGTAGCTGAGACTTCAGGTGCATGCCACTATGCCCAGATAATTTTTATTATTTTTAGTAGAGACAGGGTTTCACTATGTTGGCCAGGATGGTCTTGATCTTCGGACCTTGTGATCCATCTGCCTTGGCCACCCAAAGTGCTAGGATTACAGGTGTGAGCCACTGCACCAGGCCTTGTTTTGTTTTTAGGACAAGTCATTTCCAGCCATAAGTGAAAGGGTCTGAGACTGGGGATCCTGTCTGTTTGGTCTGCTGCTCCATATTGCCAGACTCTGGGAGGAGTGGACTCAAGAAATATTCCCTAATGGACTAAGGAAAGGTCAAGCCTAAAGTGGGTAGGGTTCACTAGCTAGCCTGAGTTCATTTTTTCAGGAATAATCCACAAGTACAGATATGAACACTGATTTATTCAATTTTCTTGTTAGATTTCAGAAGCTTACCCACAGAAACCTTAGATTTTATCTTGATACCTTTCTGTTAAATCTAAGATGGTCATAAACTACAAAACTCGTTAGTGAGGCACGAAGAGTGTGAGGCTGGGACAGAATTTCGTGCTGAAATGATAAAAACGTTTTAAAGTAAGAGCTCTCTGGATGCAGTGGCTCATGCCTGTAATCCCAACCCTTTGAGAGGCTGAGGTGGGAGCATCACTTGAGCCCAGGGGTTTGAGACCATCCTAGGCAACACAGAGATCCCTCTCTCTACAATTTTTTTTTAATTAGCTGGGCATAGTGGTGTGCACCTGTAGCCCCAGCTGCTCAAGGACTGGGTGGGAGGATCATTTGAGCCTGGGAAATTAAGGCTGTAATGAGCCGTAATTGCATCACTGTACTCCAGCCTGGGTGACGAGCAAGACATCGTCTCAAAAATAAAAAATAAGAGTTCTTTTGTAGCAATTTTAAAAAATGGAAATGAGAAAACTTTCCATTTTGCATGGCCTTTTTAAACTTCAGAATCCTAGACTCGAGACCATGATTTCATTTCCTTTTTATTATTTATTTATTTATTTTTTTATTTTTGAGACGGAGTTTTGCTCGTTACCCAGGCTGGAGTGCAATGGCGCGATCTCAGCTCACGGTAACCTCCACCTCCTGGGTTCAGGCAATTCTGCCTCAGCCTCCTGAGTAACTGGGACTACAGGCACGTGCCACCATGCCCAACTAATTTTTTGTATTTTTTTAAGTAAAGACGGGGTTTCACCATGTTGACCTGGATGTTCTCGATCTCTTGACCTCGTGATCCACCCGCCTCGGCCTCCCAAAGTGCTGGGATTACAGGCATGAGCCACAGCGCCTGGCTTCCATTTCCTTTTTGAATAGAAAAATATTATTGAGCCTGAGTGTGAAAGCAAAAGAAAGCTCAGAATCTAGGCCAGGTCTCAGACCCTTGAAGGCCCCTGAAGAGCAGGACACATCCAGGTGCCTGGTTCACACGGGCGCCAGGCTGAGCTTCCTGCCATCCTGTACAGAACCCTGTGCGGAACTTATCGCTCAAATTTGCAAAATGAAATTTCTCAGAAATGTCTCAATAAAATAATAGAAAATAATGAATTTGATGATTCAGAATAAAATGTGTGATTTCCAAGAAAACTATGATGATGATGATAAATGCCTCTGAATGACTGAAATTCTAGAAACAGAGAAAATCAACCTAGAAAAACTCCCACTTCTACCCTCCAGGGTGATCACTTCTATAATTGAAGACTATATGCTACGCTGCTAAAACAGACTGTATCCAACTCAGCAGATTCTATACAAGCCATTTATTTGAAATGCCAACTATATGTAGGATAAAGTCAGTGTTACATGCTCATCAGTAACAGTAGAAAAATAGAAGCAGTGAAAACCTCTGTACAACAGTAATGGTACTCAAAAGAGAAATGTATTGTTTTACAACGCTTCACACAGACGAATTCAAGTTTGGAGGTACCTAAATAAAAATACTATATATTTCTTTAAAAATCACTATGTACAATTGAAGCGTAAACAAGTTTTACAAAGTACTGGTTATGCAGGTTGTAAAAAACACTTGCATAGGACATGGAATCAGTTTGAAAATTTTCTGAGCCTTTAGCATTGAAGGCACTTGACTTTATACCAGTAACAGCACAACCACAAGAAATGCAGTGTTGTAGATGGTTTTCCACCTCTCTGTGTACAGATGTGGTACATACACAGCAAGTTGAGTTCAGGAACCTTTATCTCTCAGCCACCCCATCTAAGAGCAGGACTCAGTGTTGCCTGCCCATGTAACCCAGATACGGAGTCACGTGCAGGTAGACGATGAAGCGTCCAGAGCTTATCTGACCTCTTAGAACTCACACAAACACACAAACATAAGAAGTTATTTTCAAGACACACACTTGCAAGTCATCTTTCTATAGAAACGGCCACAGCATTATAATATTCAGAATATGAAAGACTGACAGTCTGAGGATTTTCTAGAGGAAAAAAAAGCAAAGGACTTGCCAATACGATAGCTACATAACAGACATGACAATCTACAGGACAAAGAGAAAACATGTCACCAAACATTGCTCATACAACACTGTTAATGGAAAACAGTAAAACACCTTTTAGCAGTGTGCACGTTCAGTCTTTCAGTAAGATTATCGGTAATGAGGTTTAAAAGGAAATCACTTAGTAGACAAAGTAAACCACTGCAGAACCGGGAATAGCACCCATCACTGCTGCTTTAATAGTACAGAGAGCCGAAAGGCAACCGAACAGTGAAAAAAGTCAAAGAAGCATTTCCCTTTGAATTCAGTCCTAAAAACATGAATGCCTTGCAGTTAATTTCAAGATAAGTATCTTACAAGTGTTTCATGAAACGTTTTTTTTTCTAAAAGGCAAATTCAACATTATGAAAATAGGTATTTTGCTGGGTAGTTACTGAGAAATGTCAATCCTTTCAACTCTAAAGAGCGATGCACACGGCTGTGAGCCCCACTGTGTGGCGCGAACTTCCACCTTGCCTTCGGCATCGGCATCTTTATGCAGAGGTACAAGAACTAAGCTCATTGCTAGGACGGCAACAACAAACCAAAAGAAAAATCCAGTGAAGGATGGCAGGTGTAATAAAAAGTTTCTGAGGAAGCAAAAACAAGACTTAGGTAAGGTTTCAGAGAGAATTCTATAAGACTGAAATGTCAAGAATTCACTGAAAAGCCTTAAAGCCTAACGGGTTATTGCAGTGTCAGGCTAGCTGAGGTCTAAGGACATGTTCCCAGAAATAAAGCTAAAGGGGGCATGTGAGCTAAAGAATGGGCATGGAAAATTTACACAACTATGTTTCAAATACTTTTTGCCTTTCGTGCTGCTTTTTTCTTAGGAGCCACCAGTGACTCTGAACTTAAATTATTCATCAAAATCACAAAACTAAAACAGTAACGTAAGAAAAAGACCAACAGCGTCTTTAAGAAACTCGAATGTCCTCCTTGGCCCTAGCATGTAAATGGTAGTTCTCTAACCTCAACGCACAGCAGACACTGGAAGTGGTGATTGTCCAAACGGCCTGATTGTCCATGACCTCAAAAGGAGATCTGGTATTTTTGTGATTTGGTTCTCATTAAAATCCTATACCAAGTAAAATGACAGTTCCCATGGCCTAAATTTTATATTACACATATGTATGCTTTTCCTTCTGAGAGCAACCTTACTCAGACTTCACATTTACCTTAGTACAGAATTTAAAAAGATTTACTAGATGGGTTGGAAGCCAGAGGCACATAGCTCTTCAACCTACCCTAGTAACCACACTTCCCCAGACACATTAAAAGCATTTAACACCTAACCTAACACGCACAAACCCACCTCTTTACCTTCCGCAAGTCACACCGGTCCGAAATCCCAGGGATTAAAGCAAGTTTTCTCTTTATACACATAGTTTAGCCAGGTAAGCTACTGTATGATTAAAAGCAAACTTTATAAACTAAATAATCTTAAGAATAGTGGCCACCTATTTTTATAATTATACTTCAGGGATATGAGAATAGTTCATACATTTTCAGAAAAATGAATGTGTGGGATCAACAGCTCCGGTTTAACATTTGGGAAAAAAACCACAACAAAACGGGTCAGAGATAAGACTTTTTCTCCCCATCCAAATTAGGTCTACTGATTCTTCCTTGCAGTACTGGCGCAGTACAGTCTGATTCAGAATAGAAATATAAAACTGTATCAAAACATGAACATGTCAACATACATATGTGATAAGAGAAACACACATTAAGGAATATGATGGCCTTCGCTTTTGTTTCTGAAGACAGACTGGGCTTCAAAAGACACTATTGTCTATTATGAGTCAAACTTCTTACAAGCGAGAACAGAGGCCTATGTTTTTCTCTTCAAAAAAGGAGGCTCGAATGCGACGCACAGCCGACCTGCAGATTAGTGTTAACTCTGGGAGCTCGGGAGCTTGTACAACAACCACAAGCATCACCGAGTGCACCAGCACAGCAGAGCGACTGGTGGCAGTTTGCCACCCGTGCGTGCAGACACACAGTATATTTCCCATCTTGGAGACTATCTACTGTTAGGGTTTTCTAAAATGTCAGATTATTCCTGAGTGTATATCCACAGGGTAAAGGAGGAAAAGACCATAAGAGAAACTATAGTTTTGGGAGAAAGCAGAGTTGTTGACACCCAATAGAAAAACTATTTACTTCAAAGTGCATGTAATTCATTTATCTGGTAGCTCATAAAGGCTCCCTAGCCCTGCATAGTTTTAGAGTGAGTGTGAGTGATTCATAGTTTTTTATATATATACATACATAGAAAAGAGGCTCCCAAATATCCTACATATGAAGGAATGTTTAGAAAGCCTCTTTTCTTCTAAGTGCTACGGCTGTGTGTTTATGTGTTTGCAAAAATACAAAGTAAATGCTCAAATAATGTTGAAGTGATTTAAAAACTCAAATCCTAATATATTTACATTGGAGAGTAAGAAAAAAACAGTCCTTAGCTCACACATTGCCCTTCCAAGGGAGAGGATCCTGGAAGACCCCATGTGCTCAGTGGCTTAGTAAATGCCAAACCAGCATCCCAGTGGAGTTCAAGTAGGACATGTAGTGTTTAACTGAAAACAATTTTTTTCCTTTTTTTCTGTTGGTGAGAAAGCACTATGCATTATACAACAACTTTTTATAGGACACCAAAATGTAGACATACTTTGAAAATCGTTTAAAAGAAAACGTATGTTTACAAACACCAAATAACATCTATAAGACTGAAGCCCTTTTTTTTTTTCCCCATAGAGAGCAAGACAGTTAAAGGCAGCGAGCAGTCAGTTCCCCCATCGCAAGCAACTGGAGAGTTGACACTCAGAACTAGAAACTGTCAGTGTGACCTTTAAGTTATTTCACTATTTCCATTGCCCCTTTTTTCTTTTTTGAGACAGGGTCTCAATGTTGCCCAGGCGGGAGTGCTGTGGTGTGGTACAATCTTGGCTCACTGCGGTCTCAACCTCCTGGGCTCAAGTGATCCTCCCACCTCAGCTCCCCAAGTAGCTGGGACTACAGGTGCACACCACCACGCCCGGCTAGGGTTTTTTTTTTGTTTTTTGTTTTGCATTTTTTATAGAAATAGAGTTTCACCATGTTGCCCAGGCCAGTCCTGAACTCCTGAGTTCAAGTGATCCTCCCGCCTTGGCCTCCCGAAGTGCCGATCACAAGTGAGAGCCACTGCGCCCCATCTCCACTGCTTTCTAATTCCAAGGGATCCAATCTCCTTAGAGCCTCTTCTGGTGATACTCTAATCCTTCTGACCAGAATGTGTAGGGATTCTGATTGCATCCACACTGTGGAAATGGACGGCTTCAGCCTGGACACAGAAGGCTTTTCTCCCTCCTGTTCTTTCCTGAACCAGTAAACTTCAGGACCCTGACTGGACTCTCGCTGGAGGAATGAAGCCCAGCTCCCAGGACTTGTTAAAAAAAAAAAAAAAGACATTAGATTTATGGAGACTGGGCGGGAAGATTTCTGAACTGAAACAATTACTGAAAAGAGAGGAGCATTCTGATGTGCTGTTCTTTGGAATTTCTATAATTAAAAAATAAACACAGAACTATTTCATAAGAAAATACATCTTAGTGTGCAATCCAATGCACATGGATTGGTAGATGAAAGGTAAAATGCAAAAAAGTATGAAAATACAGTCCTTTAAATGTGGCAATAAAGTTTAACATACTAATATAAAATCAATACAGAGAAAATAAATGTACAAGTGCAAAAAAATTCCATCATTTGTAAAGAGAAATAGAAAGTGCCAGCTCGCTCTTAAAAATGCTTCCCGACATAATTGTTCAAACACAAATTAGACAGATGCAACATTAAAAAAAAAACCTCCTAGCATGCCATGTCTAACACATATACACACAAAAACTAGACCAAAATAATGTGAAACCGAGTTGTCAGCTGGCGTTGATAAACTGGTCTGTAAGTTGTTGGGTTACATCATAAAATGGGATGTTTCACATCTCAGGCACAGACGACTTGGAGGTTGCTCTCAGAGGGCAGATTTTTTGTAGAGGAAGTCCGGCTTGCTTGGTGACCTCCTTCCTCTGCTTACTGAATCTTCCCTTTCCAAATCTGTATTTCTCTGAGCTCCATGGCCCAGGGACTCACTGTCTGCCAGTCTTCTACTGGATCTCTCTTCAGGAGCTTCAGCGCTACATGCAGAAAGTGAAGGTCTGTTAGGAGTCAGCCCAAAAGTCAAGTCAGTTTCTACTGTGGTTCGTCCCCTGACATGGGTACTAGCATTTTCTGGGGCTGCCAAAGGAAAGTCTGACCTCTGGGGAGGCTGCTCGACAACATCCAGGTGTATCGGCTCATTCTTTTGTCTGTGTAGATGCCCGTCAGGGGAAAGTGGATATTCTCTCCTAGCTTCTTCCTGTTTTTTAGGAGACGTCTGGCCAGGTAGGTAGGCTGACTTTAAGCCACTTGGTGATGCCTTACTGTGGCTGTACAAATCGGGACCAAAATATCCACCTTGCGAAGGGGAAGGGGTGCGTCTGCCGGGAGCAGGAGTAGAAGGTCTGCAAGCAGCATTTGAGAAGTCATAGAAATCCGGATATTCCTGTGGATTTTCTCTGGCATCTGTTTTTTGCTCTAGTGTGTGTTTTTTCCGAGAAGTGTGTGTATGTCTCTGTGGAATACATGACAGATGCTGGGGAGGCCCTGGTCCTGCTTCAGAAACTGACTGGCTTAATTCTGTGTCTGCAGCAAGCTCTGGAAGCCTCCTGTCCTTGAGTGACAGTGTGGACACACCCACAGCGATGTCTGGCATCAGATCATTCAGCACAGGTTGCGTTCGCTGCAGATGGAGACAAAAATGGTGGGAGGGTTAAAGAAAAGGACCCATCTTCTGTAAAAATGATGTCCACCGATTTTGTTTCCCAATTATAAAAGTAACATTTGCTGAATATTTAAGAAATATAAAAATACAGAAAGCTATAAAGGCAAAAAAAAAAAAATCACTGCAATCTTTTGAACAGAAATATCACAGTTAGCATTTTGAGGTCTTTCTTTTTATGTTTTTCTCCTCTGCGTATCTATTAACTTTTACAAAATTTAGCACATATATAATTCTGTCAATGTATTGATGAACCATGACTTAACCATTCAGCTACTATTGGACATTTAGGTTGCTTCCAATTTTTCATTACTATAGTCAAGACTGCAATGAATATACAAATAAATTACCTTTAAAAGGAGTTTTACCTAAAATATAAAGCAGTAGAACTTCTGTGATTGTAGAACTGAGGGTCCAGGCCAACAGAATGGAAATCTGGTTTATCAAACACTACTGACCTTCGCTCTTCTGGGGTGGGGGAAGCAGGTAGAAGAGGTAGAGAGGTCTAAGAAGGTGAGAAAGGCTTTCTGTGCTAACAGTGCTCCTGCAAACATGGTGAGCCTTCCTAAAACCCATTGGACCTTCTGTCACGAGTGTGACAAACACCACTCCCACAAAGTGACACCGTAGAAGAAGGGCAAGGATTCTCTATGCCCAGGGAAAGCAGCATGATAGGAAGCAGAGTGACTATGGTGGGCAGACTAGGCCAATTTTCCGGAAAAAGATGAAAACTACAAAGAAGACTGTGCTGAAGCTTGGGTGCTGAGCTCAACTGCAGATCTAAGAGAATGCTAGCTATTAAGAGATCCAAGCATGCTGAACCTGGAGAAGATATGAAGAGAAAGGGACAACTGATCCAGTTCTAACCATCATCTTTTGTTTCACTGTGAAGATAATACATTCTTGAGGTTATGTTAAAAAGAAAAGTTGACAAAGGATCCTAATTTGACTCAGAATATATACTAGTCCGCAGGTTCCAATAAGCCATATTTGAATGAAGCTTCCCTGAACTAATAGGTGAATCTTTTCTTCTAACTTGCTACTGATAGTACATGACTGAATAGGAAGACTTAAAAATCAATTTTTTTTTGAGACAGTCTCACTCTGTCATCCCGGCTGCAGGGCAGTGTTGTAATCGTAGCTCACTGCAGCCTCAACAACCTCCTAGGCTCAAGTGATCCTCCCACCTCAACCCCATGAGTAGCTGGGACTACATCTGGCTAATTTGTTTATTTATTTGGTAGAATCGGGGTCTCATTACGTTTCCTAGGCTGGTTCGGAACTCCTGGGCTCAAGTGATCCTCCCCCTTCAGCCTCCTATAATGTTGAATTAGAGATGTGAGCCATGGCACCTGACCAAAAAAAATTACTATTTTTTTCAAGTGTATTATATAAAATCTCTAATGCCATGCAAAATCAAGCAAAGAATCCGCTACCAATTTACTACCTACCAGTCCTAGCTACTGTGATTCTAAGTGAAGTGGGGGCTCTGATGATGAGCTTCGGAGGCAGAGGCCTGCTTGAGGCCTCATTTTCTGCCCATCTTCTGAATGTGGTAGCACACGCCTGTAGTCCCAGCTACTCATGAAGCTGAGGTGGGAGGATCACTTGAGCCTAGGAGGTTGTTGAGGCTGCAGTGAGCTATGATTACACCACTGCCCAGCAGCTGGGATGACAGAGTGAGACTGTCTCAAAAAGAAAAGTTTTTGGGCCGGGCGCGGTGGCTCACGAGGTCAAGAGATCGAGACCATCCTGGTCAACATGGTGAAACCCCGTCTCTACTAAAAAAAATACAAAAAATTAGCTGGGCATGGTGGTGCGTGCCTGTAGTCCCAGCTACTCGGGAGGCTGAAGCAGGAGAATTGCTTGAACCCAGGAGGCGGAGATTGCGGTGAGCCGAGATCATGCCATTGCACTCCAGCCTGGGTAACAACAGCAACACTCCATCTCAAAAAAAAAATAGAAAAGTTTTTTCCACGTTATTCCTGGTGGTATACTGTACTTGGCTCTAAGTCGCTCATGCTTCTTGTCCCATTAAAGCATGTGGTACAATAGTGGATTTTACAGAATAGTAGAAGTTAGGGACAAATTCTAGACCTGTGCTTGAATAGAACATGGAAATGGAATATTCCTTTATGCTGTTCGGTAACCCCACTCCTTCCTAATCTGGGCAAATGAACACAAAGATAAGAAGATACTCCACTCCTCCACATACACCTCTGATTTCTCTCCTCTTTTCTCATTCATGTACGTTAGCATTTTTCCCTCTTTTCCATACCCCTCAAGTCTATGCCTTCCACTTGTCAGCAATCCTCTGGGCACTGCTGAGTCTCAGTGGAGCTCTTGGGGCCAAAGGAAATTGCTTCTAATAGTCCATAAACTGAATTTGAAGCAAGTTACTCAAGTGTTGACTTACCACTTGCTTCTCAGATGCTGCTGCTGCTGCTGCTGTTGAGGTGGTGGTGGTGGCGGCGGTAGCAGCCACCGTCTGTCTGCTCAGTCCTGCAGTGCTGGTACAATCAGGAGGCGCTGCTTTAACACTTGGCAAGTAGACTGGGGGAGGGCCAGCTTTAGGAGCTGTTCTGGAGTGGAACAGCGAATGATTACAGGGATAAGAAAATGAACGTGAAGGATGCTGACTGGGAGGTCTTTGTTTCCAGCCTGCTTTGAGCTGGTTATGGACTGGCGTAGCTGGGGGGTGGTAGGGAGGTGGTGGAGGAGGCAAGGGTGGATGGAAGGCCACAAAAGAGTCCAGATCTGTAAACATGGTTTCTGCAGGAGGGGTACTGTTTACACGACATCTCCCAGGCTGTCTCATTGTCAAGAGAGGACTTTCATCCCCAAAGCGTTCATCAGGAAAGAATTTGTGAGGATTCTAAGATTTAAAAAAAAAAAAAAAAAAAAAAGGACATTTATTAGCATATTTCATAAATGGAAATGTATAGGCTGAGAGAATTAAGTGAGGTACTTAAGAAAACCACAGTCAGCAAGAATAAAAAGCATAATATATTCTTCTAGGCCAGAAGCCCAAGGAAAAAAATCACTTCCGTTATAGCATAAAGGCACAGAGTACCACCTAGGACACAGCCATCAAAGAAAGCTGCCTGACTGAATACTCCAGCAAGTAGGTCAGTCACCTCTTGCAAAATTATGTGATAATGCAAAAACAGGTAATAAACCCAAACTCAAATATGTCTTTGCTAAGAGATTAACATTAAATGCCAAAGGAAGAAAGGAATACAACTGAGGATGCTCTAGAAACTTTGACAAAACATCTTTGCCTGCTCTGTCTGAAATGGAAACTACAAAGTACTATTCCTCACCCATTATCTATGACTAAGTTTGATTAATATTTTGGTAAACATTATAAAAGAATACTTCATGCAATTTAAGATATCAAATTCAGACACAATTTAGAATGGCAAAAGGAAAATAAACGAGTAGAAAACCAGACCATATATTTTAAGAAGAAAAACTGTAGCAAAAGAAAATGAAAATCAACAACCTAAAACAAGAGCCTAAAAATGTTCAGTAGAAAATTAGGCAAGCAGGGGGTAAAAAAAAGAACCTAAAAAATAGTTTGCTGACTTGCTGAAGAAGCCTGTACCATGCTTATCCATTCATTCATTCATTTACTTATTGTTTTAAGACAGGATCTCTTTCTGTGGCCCAGGATGGAGTGCAGTGATACAATTATGGCTCACTGCAGCCCTGACCTCCTGGACTCAAGTGATCTTCCCACCTAAGCCTCCCGAGGAACCAGGACTACAGGTGCATACCACTCACTATGCCTGGCTAATTTATTGTATTTTTTATAGAGATAGGGTTTTTGCCATATTGTCCAGGCTAATCTTGAACTTGAGCTCAAGCAATTTGCCCGCCTTGGTCTCCCAAAGTGCTGGGATTACAGGTGTGAGCCACTGCGTCCAGCCCATCCTTTTTTTTTTTTTTTTTTGAGATAGAGTCTTGTTCTGTTGCTCAGGCTGGAGTACAGTGGAGCAATCTCGGAGGCTCACAGCAAACTCTGCCTCCTGGGTGCAAGCAATTCTCTTGCCTCAGCCTCTTGAGGCTGGGACTAGAGGCCTGTGCTACCACACCTGGCTAATTACATTTTCAGTGGAGATGGGGTTTCACCATGTTGGCCAGGCTGGTCTTGAACTCTTGACCTCAGGTGATCCACCCACCTTGTCCTCCTAAAGAGCTGGGATTATAGCCATGAGCCACTGCACCCAGCCACATTCTAGCCTTTTGAAGGGTAAGGATTAAAGGGGTTTGGAGTTAGTGGCAAGAAAATCACTTGACCAGATGAAATTAAATTTTATTTAAGGCTCTGATTTAGTGGCTGCTTCTTCTAGGCCAGAAGCCCAAGAAAAATTCTATCTTAATTAGTTAACAGGTAATAAACCCAAACTCAAATATGTCTTTGCTAAGAGATTAACATTAAATGCCAAAGGAAGAAACCAAAGTAGCAAAACCAATGCTACTGCTTTTAATCTAATAATTACTAGAAATGAGTTTTTTTCTTTTTTCCTGGTAGGTTAAAAAAGAAAGCACTTATTCTTTGATTCTCATATTTGGGTTTGAACCCTCATGGAAGAAATTTCTTGTAAGATGGGAGAGAGAAACAAAAGGGGCACTGGAAGATGAGTAAGCATGGTAGTAGACCAAACCTGAAACCTAGTGACCAAACAAGGAAGAGAGAGCAGTGGAAGTTCAGAATCTTCTATTTCCAGGCCATCTCTGTGGGGCACGCACACTACAACCTGGGCCACAGAATGAGATCCTGTCTTAAAACAATAAGTAAATGAATGAATGAATGGATAATGAATTTTTTAGCAGTCGCCACTTGTATCCTTGCTACATACCAGATATACAGCTGCTGTACAGTAGCAATCTGGATCTTCAAAACTATCTGTTTTACAGGTAAAAGAGCTGATGTCCAGGGTGGTTAAGTAACTCATTCCAAGTTAACCAACTAGTAAGCAGCAGAGCTGGGATCTAAACCCAGTTCTCATTCTGGACCTCTGCTCAGTTCACTCCATGACACGGCCTCTCACCAGGAGGGACTTGCAGGGTATCAAAGACAACCAAAGAGAGTGAAAAAGCACATGCAAAGAAAAGGAAGCAAGCTGAAGGCTCATCAGGATGTCTACAGTACTGCCTGTCTGGTGACTGAGGCTCCCTATTTTAAACAGTTTAATGTCATTTCCTACCTGCAAGAGCTCTGCAGCAGCATCTGCAAGACCAAACTCTCTCAGTACTCGAATCTGAATTTCATAGCTGACGGTGGCGCCCTCCCCGCAGTTGAGCGCATAGGCCCTCTGCACCTGCTCCGTGTGCCGCAGCTCCTGCAGTCGTCTGACCATGTCTTTCATAATGAGGAGACGCGGAACTGGAAGGAGAAAAACAGTGGGCAAGCAAAATTCCTGAGCTACACAGAAGACGACCCCATGAGCCCAAGGGAAAAAAGCATGTGTTTCATACCAGAATCTTATAAATTTTTTAGACAGTATTTAAATTTTCTAGGAACATACTAATTTATGTACCTCTAATTATTTTTCGACGTTTTAAAATTTCACTATGCCCAAAAGGCTCTTAATCATACTGAATAGCCCCTGAGTTGTGTTATTTTAGTTTACAGTTCAAATATAATTTTACTTGCATGTATTCTCATCGGAATCTCAGATATTTCAGAAGTCTTTAAATATATTAATTCTTTTGTTCAAATAATTTTTTGAGTCCTAACTATGCACCAGGAATTGGACTTGGATATTAGGGTGCACAGAATGAAACACATGATTACTCTCCTCAAAAGGTTCTGGCTTGGTGATATAAACTGAACCGGAAGTAAACAATATGATATAGGGTCATAAATGCTCATGGAGAGAACTGAAGGACTGGGAGGAAGGGCACCCAGCCAGACTGGGGGCAGACAAGAAAGGCTTCAAGGTGTACACAGAGCAGATTCTTGAAGAATGAAGGGAAACCAGACAGGCAAAAAAAGCTTTCTGAGCAGGACTGGGTATGTGTAAAACACGCAGTAAGAGACAGCCTGGCAGAAGTGGTTGGCACGGCCAGCAGAACTTAGGATTCAGAGCTATAAGCAGGAAGAGTGTGAAGAGAGAAGGCAGAAAGATGGCTACTGGCAGATCATGGATAAAGAATTTAAATTGTATCCTGTGCACAACAGGCAGTGACTTGCGAAGGAGGATCAGAGCTGTGAACAAGTGCTCTCTGATGCTGGTATAAAATGGGCAGGCACGCTGGGGCCAGTAAGCTAAATCAAGCTTGCTGTCTGCCTTTGTAAATAAAGTTTTACTGGAATGTACCTGTATCCATTCATTTAGGTACTATCTATGGCTGTTGTATAGGAGTTGAGTAGGTAGATATAACAGAGACTGAATGGCATACAGAAACTGAAGTATTTATCATCTGGCCCTTTCTGGAAAAGGTATGCTGGCCAATCACTGGTGTAAAGAACAGAATTTTGAGTAAGATGAGAGGCAGGAACATTGGTTAGAAACCTGAACTAGGGCTGTAGCTGTAGGGTTGGAGAGGGGATGGAGTCTATAAATATTTATGAGAGAAACTGACTAGAGCAATGATCATTATTTTTTAGGGATAAAAGGGACTTGCATTTACTGAGTGCTTACTCTAAGCCAGGCAAACTCCTCTGCATATTATTTGCGGTGCTTCATTAAATCCTCACAACTCTAGAAAGAAGGTATTAGCCCCAATTCATGGATGAGGAAATTAATGTTTGGGAAAGAAAATATTAATACTTTGTCCAAAGTCATACAAAGTAACAGAGCCAGGATATGAGCCCCCTAATCCTCTGGAACAAGACATCTATCCTTTCATGAATGTGGTGGGCAAGGAAGTGAGAAGAACCCAGGATGATACCGGAATAGGGCCATCCCTCATCAGCCAAACAAGAGACAAGTCTTATTTTTCTGAGCACACTTACTTGAGACTGTCTAGACTTTTGAGACTGAGTTCTAAATTATGCTGATATTCAACTGCATTAACTCAAGCCTAAAAAGCCGTGATAATTAGCAAAGCTTCAAAATCTGCATAAATCAGCTAAAGAAATATTTCATGTTGTCAACTAATGTGTATTTCAACTAGTGGCCAAATTTGATAAGGTAACAACTGAAGAAAGTCATTAGCTCCAGAATAAAATATATGTATTCACTTAAAAGTTCTGTCACAGTCTTTTATTCATCTTTAATTACAACAGACATTTATAAGCAGAAATAAATAAGTGCTATTTCCACTGCTATAGTTTGCTGGTTTTTATTTTGAATCTTGCAATGGCAATTAGCAAGTGCTACAAGTTTCTGACCACCAGATCACTGTTGGTTTTTTTGGTTTGTTGCCCTTTTTTCTTTGGTTGAAGTCAACATTAACTGACTACCTGTGTAACAAACATTTTTGGACATGCTCAGACATTTTGGACATGACAGTTATACCCTGATCAACGGCCAATTCCCCTAAAGTCATACAACATATAAACCTGTGCTACAATAAACTTCACAGAGCAGAACCTGGGAAACTGGACCTCTAGGAAACCCACAGTGATCACATTTTGGAAGACCATAGACTAAAAGGTAAAATAAGTGCGTATGACCCTCCAAAGGGTCTTATAACCTGAGAAATACCCTATGGTGGTCAAAAAGTCTGAATTCCTCTAAACCAGTGGTTCTCAAAATGGGTGTCTTTGTCCCACAGGGCACAACTGGCAATGTCTAGAAATATAAAAATGTTTCCAAAAGGTTTTCACAAAGGTGTGTGTTCATGCACATATGTGCTCTTAGCATTTAGGGAGTAAAGGCCAGGGATGCAGCTGAACACCCTACAAAGCACAGGACAGCTCTCTATTAACAGAATAATCCAGCCCCAAATGTCAATAAGACTGAGGCTGAGAAACTCAAGGGTAAACTGATAACCTGTATACACTTAGTAATATAAAATAAAATATAAAGCAAAAGTTTTAGCTTATACGTATTTCTTTTTGTTAATTATACTCTAAGTTCTGAGATACATGTGCAGAACATGCAGGTTTGTTACACAGGTATACCTGTGCCATGGTGGTTTGCTGTACCCATCAACCTGTCATCTACATTAGGTATTTCTCCTAATGCTATCCCTCCCCTAGCCCGCCATCTCCCATAAGTATTTATTCTTTAAGAAGAACAAAGCATAATGGGTATTGAAATGTGGAGATAATTAGCATATACAGAGGGGTTCAAATATCAGCAATTTCAAAAAATAGTTAAGATTATTCATTTAAATATAAACACCCAATATACTGCCTTACCTGGAATTTCATTGGCTACAACTGAAGGAGGGCTTGACTGGTTGCTGCTGATCTGCTGGTGGCTGATCATGTGACAACACTGTGGCACGGCATTATTGACCATGTAGAGTGTGTCTGGCACGTTGGACATTCTAACCATTCGCAAGCGCACAAGATCTGTTTGTTCCACCATCATCTCATCTAGCACTGACTGAAATAATCATTCAGTATTAACAAACTAGTCAACCTTCCTCTGTGTTAAATCACATTTGAAGGAAGATTATTACTTTCATCAAACAAAAAGGGAATTAATGTATTTCTATTTTGTAAATGTTAGTATTAGTAGTGAAAGGAAGTACCCCTGCCATTTTAACTTAAAGACTCTTTGGAGCATCTTTGAAAATACACAACCACCTTTTGAAAAGTCTGCTTTTAATTAGAAGTACTTGAAATGTGAAAGAAGGACATAAAATTAATCAGAAATAAGTTACACACAATATTATAATAAAGAAAACAATGTATACATGTGCTAAATAACAAATCCAACGAAGTGCTCAAAACAAAAAATATTAAAGATTGATAATAAGGGCTGGTTGTGGTGACTCACGCCTGTAATCCCAGCACTCTGGGAGGCTGAGGTGGGCAGATCACCTGAGATCAGAAGTTCAAGACCAGCCTGGCCAACACGGTGAAACCCTGTCTCTACTAAACATACAAAAATTAGCTGGATATGGTGGCAGGAGCCTGTAATCCCAGCTACTTGGGAGGCTGAGGCAGGAGAATCGCTTGAACTCGGTGGGGAGAAGGTTGCAGTGCGCCAAGAGCTCACAACTGTACTCTAGCCTGGGTAACAAGAGCGAAACTCCAACTTAAAAAAAAAAAACAAAAAAATCCCCAAAGATTGATAATCAATTCAAGAGACTGATAAATAAACCAATTTTTCTTTTTTGAAGAAAAGAAAAACGTTGCCCAGGCTGGAGAGGAATGTTATCATCATGGCTCACTCACTGCAGTCTTGATCTCCCAGGCTCAAGCAACCTTCCCACTTCAAGCCTCCTGAGTAGCTGGGACTACAAGAGCATACCACCATGCCTGGCTATTTATTATTATTATTTTTTGTAGAGACAGGGTATCATTAGGTTGCCCAGGCTGGTCTTGAACTCCTGGACTCAAGTGATCCTCCTGCTTCAGCCTCCCTAAGTGCTGAGATTACAGGCATGAGCCACAATACCTGGTCTAAAAATGAGAAACATTTTGAGGCAACTTGACTGTATACTCATTGAGTATACACACTGTTTGATCTGTTAAACTTATTTCAGAAAGCTTAATAGTGATTTCTTACTTTTCAAGATTGTCAGTTCCTCAGAAGGCTACTTAAAAGTTCTTTTTTTGAAGACAGGTTTTTACTCTGTCACCCAGGCTGGCATGCAGTGGCACAATCATGGCTCACTACAACCTTTGCCTCCCAGATCCAGGTGATCCTCCTACATCAGCCTCCTGAGTAGCAGAAATCAGAGTGCACGCCACCATAACTGGCTAAATTTTTTAGTTTTTGGTAGAGACAGGGTTTTACCATGTTGCCCAGGATGGATCCCTGAAAGTTCTTATGGCTGAATACATCTAATAAAAATTAGATGTTTCATTTTCACATTACCATATTTTCTTGGACAGTTCTTTATATGTTACATACAATACACATAATGCCAACTATTTACTTAATTGGCCTGATATTTTTTCTTAGGTTGTGCATTTATTCTAAAACAAAACATAATTCCCAACAGTCAGCTATTACAGAACTATGTTACAAGAGGTCGAAGCATTCCTTTAATTTATGAAGAAAGACATAATGTGGGCCATTTTCTTTCAGAACATTTCCCCCATCAAGATCACAAAATAGAGACAACCATTTTCAGTAAGTGGTAACAATTTGCAAGGCAACTAAAATGAGAAAAACATAAAACATATTTTAATATAACCACAGTTTTTAAAACATGCTTAATTAAAATTAAACATTTTAGAAAACTATTCTGTTGAGTAGTCAAACTAGAATTTATTTTCATTTTCCCTATTGTTGAATATATAGGTTATTTCCAAATATTTAAATAATACTACAACAAACCACTTTGTGCACACAGTTTGTGATAAAGCAGTCTACTATCTTCAAACGGTTTTCATTACCTTTGCTTCTTCCACATAGGGAGAGAAGAGTCGAGGACGAACATAGATGCCAGCATTTTTTTGCCGTAACCAGGCATTTGACTTCCCACCTTCTGTTGTAGGAAGCATATCTGATGGAGGAGTACTAATCAAGCCTCTTTTCAGCTAAAAAAAGATTTTTTTTTTTAGACAGAAATCTGTGTAGTGTGCTATAAATACTACTAAGATAAATAGATAAAAATATTTATAACTCTAAACAAAAATATGCAAACTTTATCATTTAAATAAAAATTTAGGAATGTATGTGAAATTTAGAAGTTCACATTTTTAATATTTAAAAGATTCTACAATAGAAATATCATAATTTCCCATTTTTCTCTAAATAGAGGAATAATATTTTTAAAAACAGACACATTAATTGAAATGTGTTAAGTTGGATAAACATCAGAGCTCTTAATGGAAACCAATTTTCTTTCTTCCTTACTCATCTAGGAACAGATTTAGTCCCCACCCAACTCCCCAAGACAAAACAAGAACATTGACATGGGCCTGAATGCACAGCGCAGGGATACAGGAAGGTGAGCACAGTGCTTAGCAATACAGGCTCTGGGGTAAGGCAGATATAGCTCAAACTTTAACTCCCACATTTAACAGCCATGTGACCAGGGACATCTACGTTACCTGGGCCTCACTTTAAGGGCTACTGTATAGCCCTGGAGGTAAGGCAGTGCACAACTAACTGAATGAGATATTCCCGTTGTTTCCTGACTGATGCTAGGAGAATCTGTATCAATTACCTTTACTTCCTAAGGTGGTATGAGGATTAAATGAAGGCAATGCAGATGAAAGCACCTGCCACAGTGCTTAGCACATACTAAGAGAACATGAAAATTAAGAGCCATTATTGGCAAACCTTTATTGGGGACTTAGACTGTATTAGGCACAGAATTAAGAGCAGAGGTATAGGCAAGGCATGGTGGCTCACTCCTGTAATCCCAGCACTTTGGGAGGCTGAGGCAAGTGGATCACCTGAGGTCAGGAGTTCAAGACCAGTCTGGTCAATATAGTGAAACCCTGTCTCTACTAAAAAATACAAAAAAAATAGCCAGGCATGGTGGCACATGCCTGTAGTCCCAGCTACTTGGGAGGCTGAGGCAGGAGAATTGCTTGAACGCAGGAGGTGGAGGTTGCAGTGAGCCAAGATTGGGTCACTCACTCCACTGTACCACTCCAGCTTGAACAAGAGAGTGAGGCTTCATCTCAAAAAAAAAAAGAGCAGAGGTATGTGTTTCCTAACCAAAGTTCTAAAATACTTCTCTAAGCTATATACAGGGTTCAATTTGACTTGAGTCCTAGGTTTTAAACAAAACCAAAAATTGTTTCTCCAATATTACTCTCATTAAATATAATAAACAGCTGCATTAGTTAAAATTACTTTTAACTAGTAAAATACAGCATTATCTAGTATTTAGAAAAAAGAGAAAAGAAAAAAAGTTAATACTCTTATTACAACTGTAATGTTGATATAGTTCCTTCCAGTCTTTTCTTTTCCTTTTTTTTTTTTTTTTTTTTTTTTTTTGAGACAGGGTCTCACTCTGTTGCCCAGGCTGGAGGGCAGTGGCGAGATCTTGGCTTACTGCAACCTCCTGGGTTCAAGCAATTTGCTCACCTCGGTTTCTCAAGTAGCTGGGTCTACAGGTGCATGCCACCATGCCTAGCTAATTTTCGTATTTTTTTTGGTGGAGACGGGGTTTCACCATGCAGACCAGGCTGGTCTCCAACTCCTGAACTCAATCTACCTGCCTTGGTCTCCAAAAGTGCTGCGATTACAGGAGCCTAGATAAGTCTTTTCCAAATGAATTTGAGAATTCATAAAAATACATACTTTATATCATCCTTCTCTTCTCCTTTTTTTTTTAGATGGAGTTTCACTTTTGTTTCCCAGGCTGGAATGCAGCACAATCTCTGCTCACCACAACCTCCACCTCCTGGGTTCAAGCGATTCTCCTGCCTCAGCCCCCTCGAGCAGCTGGGATTATAGGTGTGTGCCACCATGCCTGGCTAATTTTTTGTATTTTTAGTAGAGATGAGGTTTCACCATGTTGACCATGCTGGTCTTGAACTCCTGATCTCAGGTGATCTGCCCGCCTCCACCTCCCAAAGTGCTGGGATTACAGGCGTGAGCCACCGTGGCTGGCTTGTCTTCTTTTTTTTTTTGATAGAGTCTTGCTCTGTCACCCAGGCTGGAGTGCAGTGGCACAATCTTGGCTTGCCTCTGGGTTCAAGAGATTCTCATGCCTCAGCCTCCCGAGTAGCTGGGATTAATAGCGTGCACCACCATGCCTGGCTAATATTTATATTTTTTAGTAGAGATGGAGTTTCACCATGTTGGCCAGGCTGGTCTTGAACTCTTGACTTCAGGTGATCCACCTGCCTCAGCCTCCCAAAGTCCTGGGATTCCAGGTGTGAGCCACCACACCTGGCCACTATATAGTCTTTATAACAACTGCTCAGGGTAGCAAAATATTCCATTGTGTAGTGGTACCATAACTACTACCTTAATAGGTGAAAAAATAACTTACTATTCTATTTTGCTTTCGTGGGTGTGTGTGCAATTAGTGAGGCTAAACCTTTTTTTCTAATGAGAGTTCGCAAGTATTTCTTTTATAAAATATTATTACTATTATTATTATTATTGAGACAGAGTCTTGCTCCACTGCCCAGGCTGGAGTACAGTGGTGCAATCTCAGCTCACTGCAACCTCCATCTCCTGTGCTCAAGCGATTCTCCTGCCTCAGCCTCCCAAGTAGCTGGAACTACAGGTGCATGCCACCACACCCAGCTAATTTTTTGTATTTTTAGTAGAGACTGGGTTTCACTGTGTTAGCCAGGATAGTCTCAATCTCCTAAACTCGTGAACCAACCACCTTGGTTTCCCAAAGTGCTAGGATTATAGGCATGAGCCACCATGCTTGGCCTAAGTTTTAATTTTATTTCATTTTATTGCTGCTCCCAATGGAGCAGGGCTACCCCATAGGCAGTATGCCCAGAGTAGCCCATAAATATTTCTTGAAAGAAAACAATATTGTTTTCATCTAGTTCTTCCATGTTTCAATTTAATATTTAATTTTTCAATCTAATAAGGATTCATTTTGTGTGCCAGTGAAACAATGGTTTAACTTTCAATGAACTTCCATCTTCTGGTAACTAGTTAATATCAGTTAATCTAGCACCACACTGATGTGTGATAGTTTATTATATTTTCTTTTTGTTCCTTGAGACAGAGTCTCACTCTGTTGCCTGATTATGGCTCACTACAGCCTTGACCTCCCAGGCTCAAGTGATCCTCTTATCCAGCCTCCCAAGTAGATGGGACTACAGGCACATACCACCACACCCAGCTAAATTCTTTAAAATTTTTTTGTACAAGCGCCATGGCTCACGCTTGTAATCCCAGCACTTTGGGAGGCTGGGTGGATCACGAGGTCAAGGGATCAAGGCCATCCTGGCCAACATGGTAAAACCCCATCTCTACTAAATACAAAAAAAAAAATTAGCCGGACATGGTGGCACATGCCTGTAATCCCAGCTACTTGGGAGGCTGAGACAGGAGAATCGTTTGAACCCAGGAGGCGGAGGTTGCGGTGAGCCAAGATTGCGCCATTGCACTCCAGCCCGGGTAACAAGAGCGAAACTCTGTCTCAAAAAAAAAAAAAAAAAAAAAAAAATTGTAAAGATGAGGTCTTTCCATGTTGCTCAGGCTGATGCTGAACTCCTGGGCTAAACTGATCTGTCTGCTTTGGCCTCCAAGAATGCTGGGATTACAAACATGAGCCACTGCGCCCAACCTGTTTAATTCTTACATTAACTAAGACTTTTTTCTTGACAATTCTGTGTCCTATGTTAGCATCACAGATAAAATATTAGCAATTAAAATGTTTTATGTTTTAGAAGTTATCCCTTCTTATGTCTTTATTTATTTATTTACTTAGAGACAGAGTCTTGCTCTGTCATCAGGTTAGAGTGCAGAGGAGCAACCTCGGCTTGCTGCAACCTCCTCTTGAATGGTGATTTTCCTGCCTCAGCCTCCCGAGTAGCTGGGACTACAGGCACATACCACTACACCCAGCTAACTTTTGTATTTTTAATAGAGATGGGGTTTCACCATATTGGCCAGGATGATCTTGGTCTCTTGACCTCGTGATCTGCTGGCCTCGGTCTCCCAAAATTTTGGGATTAAGGCATGAGCCACCATGCCTGGCCCTTATGTCCTTTTAAAAGAAGTTAAAAAAATTTCTTATCAGTTCCTTTTTCAGATGGCTTTTATAATGTTCCTGTGCAGTTAAAAAAAAACTATTATGATGTTTATAAGCACTACATTAAGTTTATAAGTCAATGGGTGAAGAACTAATATTATTTATTTTTCCCATCCATGAATTCAAGCAATTCTATCAATTTTTTTTTTTAAAGATGGAGTCAGGCTGGAGTGCAGTAGTGCAATCTCAGCTCACTGCAACCTCCATCTCCCAGGTTCATGCGATTCTCCCACCTCAGCCTCCTAACTAGCTGGAATTACAGGTGCCCGCCACCACGCCCAGCTACTTTTTGTATGTTTAGTAGAGATGGGGTTTCACTGTGTTGGCCAGGCTGGTCTCAAACTCCTGACCTCAGGTGATCCGCCAGCCTTGGCCTCCCAAAGTGCTGGGATTACAGGCACGACCTACTGTGCCCAGCCAATTCTCTTATTTTAAAAAAAATTCACTGTTTAAAAAGTTATGAAAGTAACGAGATCAGCTCTATTAATTTTCAGGTCCATTCTTTCTTTTTATATTGAACCAATCCCTCCACTCCACTGCTCTCTGATTCATTGATGTTCTTGAAGAGACTCCAAAGGCAGTTTCTACTGTTTCTTTTTTGAATAAGGGTCTACTTGATCTACACTTAAATGACTGCATTAACTCTGCTATAAAGAATGCTCTTGCACGAGTAAGACCTATGTACCCACTCAACTCTCGTTCAGTGAACATTTGAACTGTAATATGTGACAGACATTTGTACTATGTACAAACTGTACTGGGGACACACTGCACACAATAGACATCTGTCTCTGTCCTTACAGAATTTACAGCTTCACAATACTCTATTAGTAGGAGAAATTATTTACAATGAATAAGAACATATGCCTGGCATTTTTCTTTTCATGAAACAAATACATGGAGAAAAACACTTACTGCATCACTTAAGACTTCACTGTTTAAAGGTAAGATGTGTTCAATTCGCACGAAAGGTAAGAGAGAAGAAAGGATCTCTCTGAGCTCTTCCATGTCCAGGTCTCGTCTTTTTACACCTCTTTTGTTCACACTGTGGGCAGTGCCACTCAGTAAGTTTGGCTCTATGAGACAGAAAATGAAAAGTTTCCAACCAAATCCAAATGTTCTGAAGAGAGGTTTGCTTTGTTCTCTAGTACATACACTCACAGGACCACTCAATAGACTTATGTGCCTCTGCTTTAAAAAGGGTTATAAATCAATTATTTTTCTGTCATAAGATGTTGTTTAATAGGAATGTTCTTGGATAAAGGAAAAACATGATATCAACAATACAATAACATTCTTTTATCACTGCTCTACAATAAAGAATAAAGGATTCCTTTCTGTAGACGAACTCAGAGAGAAAAGATGACAATCTATTAAAATCTAGTTTTATCAGGGGCTTTTAAAAAGCTTTCTCACTTTTTCAACCAGTTTTTAGTATTATAAGGTCACTGCAGTTCCTATGCTATTTCTTGCAGGTTATCAGTATGCTCATTAGCCTACATACGTGTAACAGCAATTTAACAAGATGTTAATCACTTGATGTTTGAGGCAGCAAAGTCTAATGTTCTTCTGAAATACATGTATGCTTATAATATTGAGGTGAAAAGAAAAATTACATTAATTTTGGAAATCTTTAATCATGTCTTTAATCTAGCAGCCTGTAAATTTTTTTTCTTAAGAAAATTAACACAGAATAAAATCTTTATTATTAATGAATATAAATGCTGGATTTTTTTTTCAAATATTCTATAGGAAAACTGTTATCTTCCTTAAATCGTGTGTGTGTGTGTGTGTGTGTGTGTGTGTGTGTGTGTGTGTGACAAAAAGAGAAAGAGAGAGAGAGAGAGAGAGAGAGAGAGAGAGAGAGAGAGAGAGAGAACTGATTGTTTCTGAGAAGTTAAGTTTTTTCTGATTAATTCAGAATAAAACTGTTGGTAACTGTGTAGAAAAGAGTTTTTTTTTTCCTTTGCCTAGCTATGATTTAGCTTCATACTTATTTAAGGAATTTTGCTTTTCAAAATATTTTTCTTAAACTAGTGGCATCATGTTTTCATATAAAAATCCTACATGAAACCACCAAATATGTGACAGGTAAGTGCAGAATCCTTACATACAAAATCCTTATATATAAAACTGACTGAAACAAATCTATGGCCTAGTTTACTTAATTTCCTTCTTATCCCTGCAGGAGAACCTTCCACTCTAACCTGGTTTGGAAACTACCTTTATTTTATTTTATTTTTTTAAGGCGAAGTCTTGTTATGTTGCCCAAGGTAGAGTGCAGTGATGTCATCTCAGCTCACTGCAACCTTCGCCTCCTGGGTTCAAGCAATTCTCCTGCCTCAGCCTTCTGAGTAGCTGGGATTACAGATACCTGTCGCCATGCCCGGCTAATTTTTGTGTTTTTTTATAGAGACGGGGTTTCACCATGTTGGCAAAGCTGGTCTTGAACTCCTGACCTCAGGTGATCCACCTGCCTCAGTCTCCCGAAGTACTAGGATTACAGGCATGAGCCACCACGCATGGCTGACAGATCTTTGTTTTATGTGTTTCTGTTTAAAGACACTTAATTTAATGTATGTGGCTGCATCATCAACACTAACCTCATGATCAACAGCACTATAACTCAGGCTTGAATGAAGTTTATCTAACACATGTATTTTCTCTGTAAGGCACACCACAGCCTTCCTGTTCTTGGGAACACTAGAAAGCATTTCGGTACTACACCTGGAGGCCATCTTAAACAGTGAGATCACAAAAACATAAAAATGTAAAAAATATGGCACTTGGTAGACTGTGGAAAGGACATCTGATTACAGCAGGAGATCTCAAACAAGAAGGCAGAGTGTCTCTGTCTTGTTAGAACTCAGCTGAATATGCCTGTTGGGAGACCAAGTTTGTGGCTACTCTGTGCATGTCCAGGAATGACCGTGAAAGTACCACAAGTACTAATTCTGGGGGTATAAATAAATTTCGGTGACTTAGGTAAGTTGACAAATATACTGGCATTTAAAAAACTTTCTAAATCAATTGTAATGGTTTGCATATTTCAAAAAACTCATAACTCACCAGGTGTGGTGGCTTACACCTGTAATCCCAGCACTTTGGGAGGCTGAGGCAGGCTGATCACCTGAGGTCAAGAGTTCAAGACCAGCCTGGCCAACATGGCAAAACCCTGTCTCTACTAAAGAAACCAAAATTAGCCGGGTGTGGTGGCACATGCCTGTAGTCCCAGCTACTTGGGAGGCTGGGGCAGGAGAATCACTTGAACCCAGGGGGCAGAGGTTGCAGTGAGCCAGGATCACACCACTGCGCTCAAGCCTGCGAGACAGAGTAAGACTCCATCTCAAAAAAAAAAAAAAAAATTATAACTTTGCTGCTCTTTGAAATAAAATAAAATTAAAGAAAAACAAAAAAATTCAAATCTGAGAATTAATAAAGGCTTTGCCAACCACAGAAAAATAAATTTGGGGAAATAAAATAGAAGAACTGCTTTTGTTTCCTAGAGCTTAGATAGTAGCATATTAAAGAAATACCATAAAAAGCTTGAAGGCAGGTTTAGCACAATATTTTTTGTATTTAAAAATGTAACAGAACAATTCTATAAACGTACTAAAATCCACTGACTTGAACACTTTAAACTGGTGAACTTTAAGATATGTAAATTATATCTAAATAAAGCTATCGAAAGGTGACAGGAAAGGGAAATCTGTATTTAATTTTTCTAATTAAAAATTCTAAGTTTGGGTTCAGTATATAAAGGAACTCAACTATGTTTGAGGGAAGGAGGACAGGTGGGTGGGCTAACCCTAGACACAAACAAAAGACTGATGTAGAATCATAAATTTTTAAAGTTGAAAGCCCTGTCTTTGACATATAATGCTTCCTTCTTCTCTTTTGCAGTAACTCCACTAGGAAGTCATTCAGAAGTATTATTTCTTTCTCTTTTACCTTCCACAACTTTTTTTCTTTTTTCTGAGACGGAGTCTCACTCTTGTTGCCCAGGCTGGAGTGCAATGGTGCAATCTTGGCTCACTGCAACCTCCACTTCCCAGGTTCAAGCAATTTTCCTGCCTCAGCCTCCAGAGTAGCTGGGATTACAGGCATGTGCCACCATGCCCGGCTAATTTTATTTTTAGTAGAGATGGGGTTTCTCCATGTTTGTCAGGCTGGTCTCGAATTCTCTACCTAAGGTGATCCACCTGCCTTGGCCTCCTAAAGTGCTTGGATTACAGGTGTGAGCCACCGTGTCCGGACTTTTTTTTTTTTTTGAGACAAAGTCTCGCTCTGTCACCCAGGCTGGAGTGCAGTGGCGCAATCTCAGCTCGCTGCAACTTCTGCATCCCAGGCTCAAGTGATTCTCATGCCTCAGCTTCCTGAGTAGTTGGGAGTACAGGCACGTGCCACCACTTCCCACTAATTTTCATATTTTTAGTAGAGGTGGGGTTCCACCATGTTGGCCAGGCTGGTCTCAAACTCCTGACCTCAGGTCAGCCTTGTACTCATTTTTTAAATTGAGGTTAAAATTCACATAACACAAAATTTATTTAAAACATTTTAAAGAATACAATTCAGTGGCTCTTACTATACTCATATTGTTGTGCAACCATCAACACTAATTCCACATTTTTACCAACATTATGCTTTTGTAATACTTTAGTCATTATATGAAATTACATGAACTTTTTCATTCTAATACTTCCATGAATCAGTTAACATGTATTAAGCACCTAAGAACATAAAAATTCTTTTAAAGCTGCAAAATAAGACTTTCTGATATAGTTAATAAACTATACCCTGTCCACTAAAGGATTTTACTGATCATAAACACTTCCATTTTTACCAAGCGACACTGTCAGTTTTCAAGACTGATGTGTGGCACCGTAAGTTACTGGGAATATAAGAACCAAAAATTTATACAAGGTAACTAGTGCAAGCTAAGCTAATTTTCTGAGCTTACCTCTGTCTGCTATTCTTTTCATCAACTGATGCTCTCCCCATTTAATCAGATATTTAAGGACATCTTGCTCACTTGCCTATAATAAAAAGTGGTTTATATTTATTTTAGTGAAAGTAGATAAGTGGTTAATTTCATTAAGAACTTTTCATAGGTCATAATGTAAATATAGCATGCAACTTACCATGTTTCACTCTTTCCACTGGCTGCTTGAAGTTTTAGTGTTAAATCTGTGGCCCACCAACAGGAAATACACAGACTACATTACATATATTTTATCTAGTAACCCCACTCTTGGCTCCAACTAATTTAAAATTTCATTTCTATCTTCTTTTTTTGTGTTTTTTTTTTTTTTTCTTTCTTCTTTTTTTGTAATCGACTCCCTTCTTATTTTATTTTTTCATTTTAGGTTCTCCTCTTGAGATGGGGTTGCACTCTACTGCCCAGGCTGGAGTGCAGTAGTGCTATCATGGCTCCCTACAGCCTCAACCTCCCGGGCTCAAGGGATTTTCCCCCTCTAAGCCTTCTGAGCAGCTGGGACTACAAGTGTGTGCACTATATCCAGCTAATTTTTTTTATTTTTTTGTAGAGATGGGGTCTCACCTGTTGCCAAGGCTGGTCTCGCACTTCTGGCCTCAAGCAATCCACTTCCTATTTCAAATTTATCTTACTATGTGGTTTCTATATAGCTGCCTTAAATTCTCTTTTGGAACAAGATAGAGATAAGTAAATGAAAGTGTAAGTATAGAGTATACACAGAGTGATTACTATCTCCTGGAGGGACAGGTAAAACAAGTCAGTCAACTTGTTTTGGTAGAAGAAACCACAATCTCTACAAGGTGTTCTACTGGTTGGTGAAGTGCAATCTGTGAAATGATAATGTATCCCTCATTTCTTTGTGTTTTATTTAAAATCTTAGAGCAAATCTAGGCTGCTCTCCAAGTTTTTTGTTTTGTTTTGCTTTACTTTCTAAGAAGGAATATAAAGTTCCTAAAGACAATAATCTAAGAGAACTAACAACTTCTAACACAAACATAAAGCACCTAGTCTTGATCAGGACAACGACACAAGGTTAATGAACAAAATCTCCATAAATCAAGCCCAAGTGTGACATCTGTACTGCAATCAAAGCAACACACAAAGGAAAAGCGCAGATGCTGAGTGGATTATTTAACTCTCCACTGCATTTCTGACTGAAATGGTAGCATTTTTATCATTTTCTAGTTCAAACACAAAGAAATAGGAAGTGGCTCAATGGGTTTATGTCTTCAATAGCATTAAAACAGTTGTACAGTTTTTAATATAACATTCATACAGGCAATGCAAAAACAAATTAAGCTTGAATATACTTTGCCTGCAAGTATTTACTTCTGTAATATAAAATCTATTATTAATTTAAATTTCCAAATTAAATTAACATTTAAGTCAAGAACACAAGAATTTGCTAAAAACTACTTCTGGTTAAACATAAGTAACTGAAAACATTATCATACTTTGGAGGAATACATGCACTGAGTTTTGATAACCAGTTGAGCAGATCAGAAATTGAATATTGATTTTATTTGGTGCTGCTGAAGCTACTGTCTACAATCTAAGTATGTGATAATCAACCAAAAGTAAGAAACCACTATAGAGAAGCTACATTAGCAGAAGTCAAGAAAATCACTGTTGGGATGTGCTTCTGACCTTGCCTACTGCCCCAGTCTCTTTTTGGTGCATTTGGCTGGGACCTGGGCTTGTTCACTGTTGAGTCATGGTAGTAGTGTACATCAAGAGCCAGTGAGACAGAAGGCTTCTGTTGTACAACCATGAAGAGGACAGTCTGGGTAGTTTGATCACAGTCTATTTCTCTTCCCCTGTCCTACCCTAGATGGAAGAGTAATAGAGCTCAGATGGATTTCTTGGTGCACATATGAATGACAATGAATTTGAGAGGTGTTTAAATGATTACCTGTAGGTAGTCAGACTGGATAGCAGTAAGCAGATGGTCTTTGCTGAGTTCATAAAAAACATCCGAAGTCATGACCTGGGAAAATTCCTCACAGAGGAAATGTAAAGCTTGTCGGTGCACCCATTTAGAGCCATATGGATGAGAGCTCCACTTGAGGATGGCAATTAAGGTATCTAATGAGATGCTCTCAGCAATGATATCCTCACAGCCTAAAAGAGAAGGCAAATACTTCTTGAGATTAATCATAAATATTACTTATTGAACATTAGTGTGCTCGGCACTATATTTAAAAGTCACAATAGTAAAAAAGAACTAAAGGAGATAAATAAAATCTCATGAAAATTGCCAAGACTTGGTGGGATGGGTAAACCATAGCCTATGGCATCTACAGAAAATCTGCTGCCTGACAGAGATGTATCTACAGAAAAAGGCAGAGAATCTTCCCAAGTTCAAGATAACAAACAACCACGTGCAAATCCAATAATGCGAGTAAGACTGTATAGAGGAAGGCAATGGACCAAAGGGGAAAGAAGAGCAGGCAAAAAGGCCGCAGTGGTGGAGACTGGCCAGAGGAAGCATGTGGATGACACCTGACTGATGAGAGAACGCACACCTCAGAATAAGGTAGGTGGGCTGCCGACTATGCAGATACCCACTCTTTGTAAGAAAACATAACATGCTGCACTGTTGACAGTTTAATCCCTCAGAAAACAGATAAAACATGGGCCAGGTGCAGTGGCTCATACCTGTAATCCTAGCACTTTGGGAGCTGAGGTGTGCAGATCACCTGAGGTCGGGAGTTTGGGACCATCCTGGTCAACATGGTGAAACCCTGTCTTTACTAAAAAAAGAAAAGTTAGCTGGGCGTGGTGGTGTGTGCTGTAGTTCCAGCTACTTGGGAGGCTGAGAATTGCTTGAGCCTGGGAGGCAGAGGGTGCAGTGAACCAAGATCATGCCACTGCACTCCAGCCTGGCAACAGAGTGAGATGCTGTCTCAAAAGAGAAGGAAAGAAAAAAAAAACACAAAAAAAATAGACAAAATATCAAAGTTTTATGTTCATCTGAGCTTAATTCTGGCAAACTTAAGAAGAAGGAAGTGAAAAGGACCAGGATCCTGGAGAAATCAAGTATGGCATGTTAAGAACTCAAGAAAGAAAAGAAAACTTAAGGAGACTCAACTCTCCTCTTTAGGAAAGATCATTTGAAAATATAAGGAAAAATCTGAATGACAAAGATGAGGGGAGTGAAAATGGCTATGGTAAACAGAAATTTTTCCTTAAGTTTATTATAAAACAAAAAACAATCCTGATAATGTGAAAAGAAAAAACAGGTGTTTAAATATAACCACCAAGCTGGGTGCTGTGGTTCACGGCTGTAATCTCAGCACTCTGGGAGGCTGAGGCAGGCAGATCGCCTGAAGCCGGGGATTCGAGACCAGTCTGGCCAGCATGGTGAAACCCAGTCTCTACTAAAAATATAAAAATTAGCTGGGCGTGGCCGTGGGCACCTGTAATCCCAGCTAGTCAAGAGGCTGAGGCAGGAGGATCGCTTGAACTTGAGAGGCAGAGGTAGTACTGAGCTGAGATCATGCCACTACAATCCAGCCTAAGCAACAAAGTGAGACTCCATCTCAAAAAATAAGAATAAAAAAAATAAACACCACCAAAAATATGGACACACATAAAGGGCACAGATGAACTCCAGAGACTTCTAAAATCCAAAGCTAACTGTGAAACCATGAAAGGTGTAAAGACAAAAGGAGCAAATCCCAATTTTAAGTGACAGAATAATGAGTGGCAATATGGGATCTACAAAAAGTAATCCCTTTCCCTTTTCTCATATGGTAACAGATGAGGAGAAATATCATAGATAACTGTGCAACTTGATTTCCACAAAGCATTTAGAAAATACTTCATGATGCTGCTAAACTATCAGCACCACAAGATAGGGACTGCTATCTTCAATGCATTCCTAGCACCTTCTTGCACATGTGCTAAACCTGTCCTAAATAAAAATGTGTTGAATGTACAAATGAGATCTCTGCAGATAAGACGAAGAGACAGGAGATGGGATGACAGGACAGTGGTTACCAGAACCATTCATAAATAGCACTGATTAACTTGATGGGTGGAGTGGGAAGTCGGTTTTTGACATTTTCACCAGGAACTTAGGACTGGGCACTGTGGTGCATGCCTGTAATCCCAGCACTTTGGAAGGCCGAGGCGGGTGGATTACCTGAGGTCAGGAGTTTCAGACGAGCTTGGCCAACATGGTGAAACCCTGTCTCTACTAAAAATACAAAAATCAGCTGGGTGTGGTGTCACATGCTTGTAATCCCAGCTACTTGGGAGGTTGAGGCAGGAGAATCACTTCAACCTAGGAGGTAGAGGTTGCAGTGAGCTGAGATCGTGCCACTGCACTCCAGCGTGGGTGACAGAGTGAGACTCCATCTCAAAAAAAAAATCAAAATGAAGTTGAAATATAACTAGGAGAATTAGTTCTACATTTAAAGAAAATCAACATTTAAAGCACAGCAGATGATGGTTGGCTTAAATGGAACTATATAAAGTAATATCTGGGTTTTTTTTTTTTAACAGAATGAATGCAAAATGTGACACATCTGCTATAGATCTGAAGCACTCTCAGGCTTTTCAGGTACAATCATCAAGCCATAATCAAAGAACTCATGTTGCACTGCTTTCTGTGGAGTGCTGTGCTGTTTTATGCCCTGTGCTTTAGATGAGCACTGACCAAACTGCAAGATTCTCAGGAAGGCAAGGGAATGGTGGAGAGTAAAGTTTGCCGGTTATCACAGGAGAAAAGCTCCAAGCAAGAGATTATTTGGGTTATGTAAGAGAAACCTGAGGCGAGACATAAAAGCTGTGTTTAAATGCCTCTTCATGAGGCAGAGGAGAAATAACTCATTCATCTGTTGTTCCTAGGAAACAAATAGATGTTAAAAGAAGGGAGGCTTTGACTCAATTATAAGAAGTTTCTAAACAATTAGAATTTCCATCCTCTTCTCTCGTCAAAAAAAGGATCTCTCTAGAAAGTGTCAGAGCAGAGGCTGGCTAATCACATTAGGGATGGAGTATAAGGAACCCTCACACTGGAAGGGGAACTAAGGTCAGAAGACATCCAAGTTGATTCCATCACAAAGATAAAACCATTTTTATAAAGACGGTACAGAGCAAATAAAAAAATTTACTCAAAGCACTAAAATAATAAGCACTATAATAATATAAGGAACACAATGAGACCACTATATTTATATCCACATATAGATGACACCCAAAGGCATGAATATGTGCTGATGAGAAGTGGGAAATATGGAAAAGTTTTCAACAGTCTTCATTTTATGATGAGCCTTTGAGCCTTGAATACCAAGCTGAGCAGGACAGACCTCATTTAGTGGTGAGTGGAGGACTTCCGTTGGCCTGTTGTTTTAAAGTGGATGTTGGAATAGAATTGACTGGAATGAGTCAATCTGATAGGAAAGGCAATCTCATAGATGTGTTTGGGAGTGAAGCAGGGGAACTGAGTGAAAAGCTGGTTATTTAAAATGATGTGTCACAATCCTACTAAACCAGGGTGCTGGCAGAGGTAAATAAAAATAAGGTCACATGATCACAGATATTTAAACTGCTGAGGTTTACAAAGTAGGATACAACAGGGGAAAAAAGGGCTTTAAAATCAGACAGATTGGATTCGAAATCCTAGCTCTGCCACTCAGGAGCAAAATCACTTTGGGCAAATCACTTAACTCTTAAGAGTCTGAAATGTTCTCATTTGCAAAACTGAGATTGTTTCTTACCTCACAGAGTTGTTATGGGATTTAAACGAGACCATACTTTTGACACTTAATGTTTGTTCAAACAGTCTGGAGTACCTAAGCCGAGTACCATGAATACCCAGCTCTTTTCACTGCCTGGTGATGTCACCGGCCCCAAGGCCTTCACCTCATTTTATCCCTGACTTCCCGGTTGATGACTCCAAGCCTGAGCTGACTCCCAGTCACAGCTTATTTTCACATGGATTTTGCACAGACATCTTAAATGCCAAAGTCAATTCATTTTCTCTGGGAAATCTGGTTCTCCTCAGTCACCAAAGCCAGAGATCTGAGTACTATTATTGGGTCCTTCTCCGGAAGCCCATATCCAATCTATCACCAGATGCTGTTCATTCTTCTTTTAAAGCCAACCCCTCCAGACTCTCCACTGAATTTGTACTACCTCCTTTTACCTGATACTTTCCCCCTGCATTATTGAAACAGCCTTTAAAAAAATTCCCACCTCCAGTCTTTCCCCTTCTAATCTGCTCTCTGTACTGTTGCCAGAATGATCTTTTAAAATGTAAATTACATATGCCTCTTTAACAAATTATTCAACAGCTTATGCCACAAGTTTCAAGATAAAGTCCAAGCCACATCTCCCTTGAGGATCTGGCACCTACCTACTCCCCAGCCCCAACCCTGCACATACTCTACACCCCAGTCATACTGCGTCCCTTCCAATTACCCAGAATTCCACCAAACGCTCGTACCTCCAGGCTTTGTGTATGTTGTTCCACTTTTCTGAAATGTCCCTACCTCTTTCCTTAACTCCTCTGCATCTTTAAGTCTCAGCTTAGATACTGCCTCTTTTAAGAGCCTACTTTGATCCTGCTCCTCAAAGCCTTAGGTCAGGTGTTCCTCCTACCTAAAAGTTTCTCTACCCCATTTTTGCCTGTAACAGCACAAAACTCTCATATTACTACATCTTTCTTACATATATACCTGTCTGACTCTTCCACCAGACTAAGTTCCTTTTTGGTAAAGGTTCCTCCATCTTATCTGATTCTATAGTGTCTGGCACCTAGTAATTAACTAAAAGCAAAGAATAGCTAACATTTTTGAAAGTTTGTTACATATAGGTACCAGGCTCTGTGCTAATTGCTTACTTTAGAGTATTTAATTTTAGCACTTCTTGTCAAAGAAGGTTGTATTATTATTACCATTATTATTATCTCCATTTTATAGATGAGAAAACTAAGACTCACAAAGATTAAATATGTTACCCAAGGTTACACAGCTAGGAAGAAGACAAGTCCTACCTAAACATATCCTTCCTTTCCCTCCCAAAAGTTCCTCCTTCCTTCTTTTTAGGACTTTTTTTTTTTTGAGACGGAGTTTCACTCAGCCGCCCAGGCTGGAGTGCAGTGGTGCGATCTC